TGAAGAAATGATCATTTGCAAGTTTAGTTTTCGAATTCTTACACTGTTTTGCTCACCAAAGCAGTTGGGACAAGAAGAAAAAACATTGAGGGTTCTAGCTGACGGGTGTGAAATAGTATACCGAGGATCACATCAGATAATTTAACACGGATTATGCTGATCAATCATTTGTTCCAATTCCTTCGTAGATTTCGACAAATGACGCAACCACACACAAATGTATATGGTTTATTGTTTTTTTAAATCTGTGGAGGGCGATGTTTTGTTGTTCGAATACACCATCATCACACATTGTACGACAAACAGGCGGTAGTGAACAACCTGGTTTGTGGTGATTTATCTGCAGTACGATAAATATGTCAAATGTTTGATGGGTTCACCATTGTTCCTAATCCTAAACCCTCTACATTTAGCATTTTATCTAAACGCTTTTGTCCTATGGCCATCACCTCCTTTGGAATTAAACTTGCAGAGCGTGCCAATCTAACCTGATTTCAGTTTGATATTGATGTTCCCAATGACCCCGTCAAGTCAAATAGATGCACTTTGGTTGCCGTCTCTTCAATGATGCACTTTATTTGCAAATCTTTAGATGATTATCAAAAGTCGATTCGTTGTTTTTCCCTTTGACTATTCTTCCGCTCTCGATTCCGCTCCACAACCTCTTCTTCTACAAACGTTACAGTCATTTGGTTGCCCCACCAATTTTATTATCATGGTTAAAAGATTATTTCACAGGAAGGATTCACAGAATGAAAGCAAACGGCACTGCTTCAAAATGGTTAGTGAATAATTCTGGAGTCCTTCAGGGTGCTGTGCTCTCTTTCTACTTATTTACAACTTTAATCAGTGACTTACCCTCAATCCCACCAGCCAAGACCTTTAAGTATGCAGATGATGTTGTCTTATGTCAAGCTATTTCCGACAGTTTACTACAAGTGTGATCATTCTCGAATCATTCTGGTATCCGGTTGAATACTTCCAAATGCTTTGAATGCATTTTTAGTCTTTCTCGATCCGATTATCCCTTGGAACCCTCAGTCATCAATTCCTTACTAGAACCCATACCATGAAATACCTAGGCGTTAGCATAGATAGCAATTTACGGTGGTCTTCTCATGTGCTTGCTTTTGTTGGTAAACTGCGTCGCTTATCTTTTCAAATACACAAGCTACGACAATTTCGCGTCAGGCATGAAACTGTATGTTCCTTTGTTTATCAATGCATTTTTCCTGTCACAATTTATTGTTCGCCCATTATTTTCCCCGGACTACTTAGAAAGGATTTCATTACTCTACGTCACGGTTTGGTGATTATCAGCCGTGTTTCTCTTATTCTTTTAAATATTCTAATCACAAAATTGTGTAATTTGCATATCACTTCATGTGAGAACTTCGCTCAAAAGATACTGAATGACCCCAATCATCCGCTCAATCCCAATTTATCTGCTTACCGTTCTCACGCGCTACAACCCGATCTAATTTTCGCTGCCTACTCTCCCGAATTAAAATTTACCGCAACTCAACGGTTCCCCATCTGGCTTGTATTTTCACTGTAACCGCGAAGATCCGTAACGAACTAATCTTGAATCTATAAAGATGAAGAATATTTGAGTTTAATCATTGTTATATACGAATTTTTATTTCATTTTTTGTCCCATTGTAACAGTGAACAGATCTTTGACTGGAATGTAGGCACAGTTGACCGCACAAGTCATCTATAATACAATTATAATGATACAGTAATGTAGAGAAGGGGATGATCATGACAAAATTAGAAGAAAAATAATCCACATTCCTTTATGCTCATTATGGTCTGCTTAGTTGCGGTGGTTCTCTGGCGAGAATACAGACATCAATCGCTTAGCGTTTGCCTGAGTGACGGTCACGAGCAGAGACGAGCATGCATTAGAATTGGCTGTGTTGACCTGATACCGCCTGCCCTCTCCATAAGCCCCGGTTACGTAAGAACCAACGTGTGTTTAAGTTTTGCTTCTACAAACCGAACTCCGAGCGATCCCGATACATGGTAATTGGTATTTGAGTGAGATTGAAGGCTTTAGTGAGTCTCAGTAGAATAAGCCGCTATCTGTTTATTAAGCAAATTGTCTGTGCGTAGATAATAGAGATTTCCGAAGTTTGCAAGATATCGTCTGACTCCACACATCCCTTATGCGACTTGTATGTTCTTGTCTTCCATCATTGTATTTTTCCTTTCTTTCTAATCATGGCCAATTCACAGAGCCTGTTTGCTGTTTCCTGACACGAGACGAATGTCCGCCAAACGTGATGGTGTTCCCAATACCTGTACCTGTATCATGTGCTTTGGTCTGAATAACCCGCACGAATGAAACAATGTTGCGCTGAGTCGGTGGTGGGAACCTAACATAACTGCTCGGCCGTTTCGTAATCACAGAATCAGACCGTGCACAAAAAAAGACAACCGATCCGTCTCTGTATTCGTTCGCTTATGGTCACGTGGGCGCATAAAATTGCAAAAACAATACAACCACCTGATAAGCACGCAACAAAACGAGAGAAAAATGAATCCCATGGGATTTTAATTGTAAACACATAAATTGGACATGCGCCAGTCGCTTACCGGGTAAACTACGCGGCAAAGGCAGCGAAACGATAAATGCGCCACAGAATGGACTGCCGCTATCATGTGAACGTTGAACGAATTCGTTCATTTTTTCCGTCAGATCTGCGAATGATGGTCGCATTTCACTGAACCGACTCCAACATTGAAGCATTTGGTTATATCTGAATGAAGAGGAAGGTGAGGGAAGGATAGACATGCTTTTTTCTGTTCGTGCTGATGTGTCTGGAGAAAATAAGACACGAACACATACATTCATGTATTCATTCATACATACATACATACATACATACATAAATATGTACATATATCTTCAGTGAAACAACTCGCCCATCTCCCATAACACACTCTTTCATTCATTAATTTTTGTCCCCCGCTCTAAACTGCATCGAGCCGCTAGACAGAGAGCAGTTGCTTATTGTCAGTATCAATCAATATAAAACATTGAGTCCATTCTGATTAAGGAAATTATTTCATTTTATAATGGGTTTGCAAATAAAAGTGATTCTCGTATAACTAAATCACGGTTTCTTGTGAGTAGTGGTGTGGGATAATTGATATTGGTTCGAACCGACCGTCCTTAGGATTACACTCTCGCCCATAATCCTCAGTTTTTCCAGTCAACCGTACACTCGGAAGCACTAGATTCGAGCTTTGTTCTAATCAGAGCTCATCAGTACTACATGTCCACTATCTTGTCCGGGGTTTGAACTCCGGACCTCTCGCCCGGAAGGCGTGTGCGCTTTACTACTTATGAGTAGTGATGTGGGAGAAATAATGTTGCTTCGAATGGTTAGTTGACTGGAAGAGCTGAGGATTGTGCATGAAGGTTCAGTTTTAGGGACGGTCATTTAAATCATTATAGCTGGTTTGCAACTAAAAAGCATTCCGTTGTTTTTGGTGCAGACAGACTACCATATGGAGAGCATTTTACTCCACACACCCCCCGACCCACCATAAGCATGACGTACGACAACGGGAAGCTCGCTTGCTAGTTTGATGCTCGTTCGTTGTTACAGGTTGAATATATGCAAGTTTTAGTCTGGTGTTATTCAGCGATGCTGAAGGTGTGTTGCAATCGAGGAAAGCAGTGATTCACTTGATGCAAGGAGTGACAGGTTCATCGCCTCACCCATCTAGAGTGGCTAACTATTCTAATACCAAATAAAAGAATAAAATAAACTGGAGGCGATATATTTTATTTTATGCAATCCAATGAGTTGAAAGTTTGTTGAATATTGTTTACAGTCAACGTATCTGGATGTTGCACCGCCTCGATCTCCGGGTAACGAAACGTTGTAATGTGTGTGTACTCATGTGTATGACAAATCCACATAGTTATGCCATTAACTTTGGATGATCTGTATTACTGCGAATGAATTTCTGATGCGGGATTCATCACAATAAACACTCATTTTATCGATTTAAACACACATAAGCTGTGAATAAGTCAACTCAAGTACTATCGCCTAAATTCACGAGTGGTCAATATGAGCGGCGGGGTGGTATGGTGGTGATGGTGATGGTGGTGGCAATATTGGCGGGAATCGAACGTGTCAGATCCAAATACCACCCTATTCAAGAGTGGTGCAGAGCCTCGGATTGAAGAACATTAATAACACAAGTAGTCTGATTTGCAGATCGAACGATCCTGTCCATCAACCACAACACAGATAGCAGCAATATTGAACGGGTTACATATTGAAATTTGGAATTCAATACACTGTGAAAACGTATGGTACTGACGCAACGCGTTGCTCCGGAAATGGAGGTCATTTGTTCAGCGCCCGGCTCGAATAACGTTACTTGCATATTTATAGCTTACTGGCATCACTGTTTTGCAAGATTGTTTCAAACTGGGTGCACGTGTTTGTATGAGGCAGTCCCAGGTGTTCGAGTAAACCTAGATCTGAGTGTGACGTTTAATTTAAGACATATTTAAACCACTTGTTTAAGAAAAACAACTCATATCAGCCGTGCCCAATTTGAACCACTATCACCACCAGCCCTCACTACTACCATCACCACCACCACCAACAGCAACAGGGGAAGTAATATTTTTATAGACGGACACTAATCACTTTTCGTTAATATTGGTGTCATTCCAGATTGTCCATAGTTTGAGTTGTTTACATCCAAGCATACGCTTGTGTGTAGACATGTTTTGCTCTATCAGGATTACAGATGTGTTTTGTATTAAAGTCACTTCAGTACAACATTGTCCACATCCAAATGCCCAAAAATAAATTCTGCCATTAATCGAGTAGCACCTGTTATTCCCACCTTGGGGATGATTAACGGTTCGCTCCGTAAGTGACTGAATTATGAATGGTCAATGGATTCAAATATACATTAGTATGCCCTTCGCCTCCTGTACAAAGTTGTCTACGGGTGGTGGTGCTCAAGTGCTGAAGATCCCAACCTGCTGCCCCGGGAGGACATGTGTTCGAATCCCACCACCACCGTCACCCAAATTTATCTTTCTGTGTATGTCTGCGCACAACCATAATGACCGCAGCTTACCTCTTTCCTGAATATGGTACGGTACATCTGTGTATTCAATAGAAGGAGTTAAGGATTTCTACCAGTTCTAGACACCAACTTTACATTCTTGTAGTGTGAAAAAAACAGTTGGATAGAAAACGTAAGATGTGAGGATACTATCGAAAAAACCAATACTCCATTTTGTCTGAATTGTATAAATTTTTACTAGTAGTCAATTTACAATACTTTTCAAATACAAATACACTAATACTTTGTTCAGTTCATATGATAGAAGAACGAATACACACTGTGCGATGAATTGACAGAAGGCATTGCCATTTTTTGTTCCTCCTCTCTCGCTCTCTCTCTCTGTTGGGCACCATCGGAGCATAGTTCGGGCCACGGAAAACAGTGTAGTAGCATCGATTCGATATTTTTTAGGGCAAAAATATTCCAGTTCCCCATCCCCACTGTCTCTCGGTCTATCGATCGATTTATGAATGCACCTGGGGCAATTGTTTACAACTGGCCGACAATTATCGCAACGCACAGCTCTCTGACTGTTCGTGCATAGATGGCACAGCTGATTTACCGTTGGTTCGCCCCTGGAATATGGATTGAGAGACAGCCACCTGGTAGATAGATGGACAGAAACCATCAGCTCTCTGATCCGCCAGAGATTATTTGATGGTGTCATACCCATCAACCAAAGACCCCGGGATTATAACCCATTCAGTTCAAATATAAGGGAGTTCATATTGAGCATCATCAGCGGGATTATTCACGGAAAATTTGTAGATTCATCTGTGGGGGTAGGTTTTTTTCGGCTATTTATTGCGAACTACGCTGTGCGTTTCAGCTACGACAATGGAATGCTATTTCAAGCAACAAAGACCGGAAAATAATCTTCTAACCTCATCAACTGTTGCATTAACTTCGTCAGTAATAGTTTCACATGACCCTCTTTAACAGCTTCATCTTGATTTATCCTCTTATCGTTCCCATTGTCCACACGCTCCTCATTTCGGCATCCATCGTCTCGTACTGACATGCATAAGAATTCCCGCTACCCTACATGACCCGACTACTAACCAAAAAGGAACAGGTCACAAGTGAATTACGTCAACATTAGTGTACATATACCAAATGTTGCCGGCTTTCTTCATGTTGTATATTTGTATGCTTTATTCTATGTGACGATCATTGTACCTTTTTAACGGAAAGTAAGCATATGTTTCCACAAATTATACAAATATAAGCACCAATAACCATAAAAGGCTCCCAACTGGTCAGTCGCTAATGTAGGATTTGCCCAGAAGAATTCTTTTGATTGCACAAACGACTCTGAGATCCAAGAATAATTCCAATCTCACCGATTCAAGACTTATCTTTCAGGCATTTTGGAAATAAATACGGAAGATTTTCAAAGAATGGCACCTCAGAGAGCTATCTGTAGAGCACCAGGAAGGTTGGTAGGTTAGCTGATCGGGAATTAAATCAACTTACAACTCATCTGGACAATTCTCCGGTCTTCCAAGCACGTGACCTCCAATGACCAAATTCATCACATCCAAGTTTGCCCGACCATAGAATGGATCCGCTCCCAATGTCATTACTTCCCAACAGGTCACCGCAAACGCCCTGAAAATTAAAATTGAGTAATGAAAAGAAAATGGATAAACAAATTGTTTTGATGAACAAAACTATAAATTTGCTTTACATAGCACTGTATCCAGCTATCACGTGACACGTGATCCACTATCATTACCTATTCGGTCGAACTTACCACACATCGGACTTTGTGGTGAACAGGCCATCACGGATANCGGATAGCCTCGGGAGACATCCAACGGACAGGAAGTTTTGGCTCATTGCGTTTCAGGTAGCAATCATTTTTGTAGATGTCTCGGGCCAGCCCGAAGTCACATAGTTTGACAATGCGTCCGGTTGGATGATTGTGACTAACTAGACAGTTCCGTGCGGCAATATCTCTGTTCGAATGAAAAAATGATTAAAAATTAGTGATCCAGCGAAGTAAGACTCGTAATCAAGTAAATAAACAGAAATCTCGCATGGTTTTTGCTCAGTTGAAAGAGAAATGCTGGGAACGAATCTAGGCTTTATTTAAAACGGTTCTCTTCAAGGTGAATCCCAAAGCATTAATTTGAAAAACACCTACGATTCTTCCCTAGACTGGCTTCTCTCCAGTGAACAAAAGAGCATCCAGTGTCTCGAGAGGGAGAGCTAATTACTGCCAAATTTAGCATTCATCATTCTGGAACCGTAGTGGAAGCCAAGCTGCGTTCAATTTAGCCGGCATAGAAACCAATCGGATTCATAATCGTACTGCACTGCACTGCAATATCTAATTCAACGCAACACTTGGTATATCGGCATATGTGTGATACGATAGAGATTCACTCCCTGTTTCGGTTGGCTGAGTAGGCAACCGACTGAACGGTCTAGCGTCTGTAATGTGTGATGCGTTATTAGGTCGATACTGGTGATAAACCAGTCGGAGCAGAACAAAATTCGATAGATTAACAAGCATAACTCATTTAGGAGATGTTCTATATTAATAAAGACACTAACGGATTGATCCTGACAGAGCATACATGCATTTCATATTTTTACTGCAAACGTCATTCACATTTTTTACAATCAAAATGTGACGACTAACTGCCGACTAACTCAGTATTACAGTATTACAGAATGACTGGTTGAATAATAATAATCCCCATTCGTGCGTCAGGAGTTAGAAACATTTTCAGAACCTACTTCCATGTAGGCGATACAATGGCAAACACGCCAGGCTGCGGTAGTTACTGTGCTCATCTAGCTCCAAAATAAAATTCAACTGTTTGCACTCAGAATTTACATGAGTTTTTCGCGAACACGAAACTTATGCAGTTCGTTCATTGATTCATTGATTGCTTGATTCAGAAATCACTCAAACACAATGGACAGTGCATAGTCAGGTTCAACTCATCAGTAATTGGTAAGTTTGGTTGGCACCGGAAGAGGTTTTTGGTGGGTTTTTCATGATATTGAAAAGGAAAGAGACATCCGGACTCGGATTAGTGAATACACCTCTGTAATCACAGCAGATGGGAACAGGTTGTCAAACTGTTTGCCTACTGATCAATAGACTTTCATAAAACTGAAAATGGACTGTTTCAGATCACATATTTCATTCTGCTTAACCGCATTTATCCCCTACCCATATCGCTGTTCCAATAGCGTACTACGCAGTTTGGCACGGGACATGTGGAGTTATCACACGGGTGATAAACGTGCCAGTAGAGAATAGGTTGCAGACCCGAAAACGGTAATAATTTAATTATAACTTTTTGTCTTCTGTCAGATGAAGTTCTACCTAATTCGTCTACAAAAAGAAACTTAGAACATCAGAGGCGTTTCTGTTAACGAGATCTTCATACTGTTTAATGCCATAGAAACACCACATCAGCGTCTTATTGCCTTCATTCTGCCCTTGGTATTAATGGACCCAACACTGACACGCTAAATAATTCATTGGGATCTAGCATCTTGCAACTTCGTTTCTGTCTCAAAAATATATCCACGAATACCAACCAGACGCCCAAATTTAACCTCACAGCATTACCCTCAATGGGACTTAATTGGCCATGGTGAGAAATTCTCCGGAGCTCCGGGGCTTCTTTCACCTTTCAATCGGATGTGTTTCAATTTACTTACTAATTGCAGAGATGTAAGGTTGATGTAAGGGCTCCACTTGAAGAACTGAAAAAATCGTGTTTCTCTACAGATGCTGGCAAACAGTGTC